GGCCATATATATGCCTTGCTTTGAAAATTGTTCATGTCCTTTGCCCACTTTTTAATGGGGTTGTTTTTTTCTTGTAATTTATTTAAGTTCCTTATGGATGCTTGATATTAGGCCTTTGTCACATGTGTAATTTGCAGAAATTTTCTCCCATTCTGTAGGTTGTCTGTTTACTCTGCTGATAGTTTCTTTTGCTGTGCAGAAGCTCTTTAGTTTAATTAGATCCCATTTGTCATTTTTTGCTTTTGCTGTCTTCGTCATGAAATCTTTGCCCATGCCTATGTCCACAATGGTTTGATTTGCGTAATTTTGTTTGTTCATTAATTTATTAATTCTTTATTTATTGGGGTTGGAATTAATTTTCTTGTAATACAAGGTCTGGAAGGGAACCAACGAGGCTGGGTTTCATTCTATATAGAGGATTTTAACAGTTGCTTTCTCCTCTCCTCTTCTCTTCTCTTCTCTTCTCTTTTCTCTTCTCTTCTCTTCTCTTCTCTTCTCTTCTCTTCTTTCTCTTCTCTTCTCTTCTCTTCTCTTCTCTTTTTTCTCTTCTCTTCTCTTCTTTCTCCTCTCCTCTCCCCTTCTCTCTCTCCCCTTCTCTCCCCTCTCTTCTCCTTCTCTTTCTCTTTCTCTTTCTCTTTCTTCTCTTTCGCCTTGTTTCACCTTTACTTGTGAAGGTTCTCGATTGACTTCTTACCAATATGCCCTTTTGGTATCTCTTTTGGTCATCAAAACAGGATTGAAATATTTTATTTATTGTTTTTTCGCCCCCTGATTCATCCTTGGACTTTACCTTTCCTTTTAATTTTCTTGCTGTCATTTTAGAGGAGATTCAAGAGACTGGAGAGATAATCATATGTAGCTGGAAGTTTGGACAGGTTTTTGTATGGGTCATTTATATGCGAGTAGATGAATATAAGTGTGTCAGATCTCGTTTCAGTTAAGGCACATCAATTAATTTGAAATTGAAATTGTAGAGAAAAATATTAAATTCCATGTTGGGGACAGGAATTAGAAAATTGCAGAAGATCCTGAACCAACGTCCTGTATGAATAGGATCTTGATGATAGATGGATAATAGGATGGGATATAGGAGATGAGCATTTGAATGGAATACACTTGACAAATGAGCTTAGATGATGCCTTGGCTTTCTTAAAAACCTCGAAGTAGGCTGGTTGTCGTGGTTCACACCTGTAATCCCAGCACTTTGGGAAGTCAAGGTGGGCGAATTACTCGAGCTCAGGAGTTCAAGACCAGCTTGAACAACATGACAAGAGCCTGTCTCTACCAAAAACACAAAAAATTAGCTGGGCATGTGGCGTGTGCCTATAGGCCCAGCTACTTGGAAGGTTTAGGTGCGAGTACTGCTTGAGCCCAGGAGGTCGAAGCTGCAGTGAGCTGGCATTGCACCATTGAGATGCAAAGAGAAGAGAAAGATCCTTGTCTGTGATGATAGAAGCAGGATAAACTGGTACTGCAGTCTGGGCAACAGAACAAGACCCTGTCTCATAGATAAATAAATAACTCTGAAGCTTTAGGCATGTAAATAAAATATGTTTCATATTGCTTAGGAAAGGTATAGCTGTTTTAAAAAAAATCAGTTATATATGTGCACATAGTTTGAAAGTATTGGTCTACATATTCTAACAAAAACTAGGAGTACCCTGCATGTTTCTCTCCCTATTTTCTATTCCTAGAGGCAGCCACTTCTTGAAACTCTTCTTAGTTGCTTCTTTCGCTGTTAGCCTCTTTAGCTGTGTATTACTTGGTTATATTGCAACTTCAGATTTTTTTCAGTGTTAGGCTCTTTTTTTGTTTGTTTTAGAGACAGGGTCTTCCTCTGTCACCCAGTGCAGTGACTCATATGTGGCTACTGCCGCCTACCCAGGCTCAGGTGATCCTCCTACCTCAGACTCCCGAGTAGCTGGAACTACAGGTATGTGTGCCACCACTTCCAGCTAATTTTTGTGTTTTTCGTAGAGACAGAGTTTTGCCATGTTGCCCTGGCTGGTCTTGGACTCCTGGGCTCAAGCAGTCCATCCACCTTGGCCTCCCAAAGTGCTGGAATTATAGGAGTGAGCCACTGTGCCCAGCCCAGTGTTAGGCATTGTCTGTTGACTTCCAACTATGGAAGAGGAAGATTGTCTTTTTTATCCGTCTTCTATCATCACAGACAAGGATCTTTCTGTTCCCTTTGCATCTCAATAGTTACATTATAATTTCAGATAGGTTGAAATTCAGTGCTTATGTTTTTGTGACCACAAATTTTGTTCAGATCTGAGCCATGTAGTTGACCATGAAATCTTTTCCTATCCTATAACTAGCTTTGTTTTCCATGGAGTCATTAATAAACTATTTGCTTAGTGCTCAAATAATTATCACTAATTCACCTCCAAACTCTCTTCAGTAGTTTTATCTCTTCTCAGGATGTTCAGATGTATAGGGTTTATTTATCAATTTAATTTTCTGGAGTGTCTTATGTCCCAATCTGAACTTGCTTCTGTCTGCACCCAGTATAGAGTTGCCATATTCCTTTATCATTCTAGGGATTCCCATTCCCTCTCTTTTGTGTTGGATCTCTTTTTCCTATATCCTATGTCTTTTTCACTCCTACTGTTGACTTCTTTATTTTGGTGATCGCCTGCCAATAGAGTTCTTTTAGGGTGCATGAGAGGAAAATGTCGAGACCTTATGTGTCTGAAATGTATTCATTTTATCTTCACACTTGTTTATAGTTTGTGTATAGAATTCTAGATTGGAAACAATTTTCCTTCAGCATTTTGAAGCCATTGCTTCATTGCTTTTCATTATACCTTGAAGTTAATAAAAGCTGATTTCTATATATAGGACCTGTTTTTTTCCCCTGTACAGTTGCTTGTAGGATCTTCTGTTTGTCCCCTAGCATTCTAATATGCTCTCTGTTTTGTCTTTTTGTTCTAATCTGTAGGTTACTACTGAGTTTTCTATTGGATTTTTAAATTTTCTGGCAACGTTTTTAATTCTCAAGAGCTTCCCCCACCTCTGCTTTTTAATATTCTTTTTTAAATGCTGCCTTGTCCCTGTTCTCATTGCTGCCTGTCTTCTGGCTCTTTAAAGATATTAATCATTGGGTTGTTTCTTGTTTTGTTTTTGTTTTTTAGTTTTCTTCTTTCTATAGTCTCTTCCAAGTTGCTTTTTCTCTTTTCGATTACTGTGTTTTTCCCACTAGAGACTTTTGCAGGCCAGTTATTTAAGAAGGGGACACTAAAAACTTGATTAGAGATCTGAGTTTTGTGGGTGGGGCTTGTTGACAATGGCCTTTTCTTTGGGGGACTGTCCTATATGTGTTACTTTAGGACTTCTTAGGTAGTCTAGTTCCCAGAGAAAACTCCTGCCTGCTAGGTAAAGGCTGACAGCCAAAGCGGGAAGAGACTTTCCAGGTTGCCTACCTTCACTTAAAGTCCCCTTTTAGTACTTTCTGCTGTGTATAAGAGTCCTGGAAACTCTCTTTCTTGAGTTTAGAGAATAGGATTAACCACTTTTCTCTTTGGATGAGGAGGCATCATTTGATGTTTCTTTGGAGAGGATCTGGAGCTTTAATAGCTTCTCAGAGAGACTTTAAATCTGTCCTCCTTCCTGCCCTCTTTCCACCTCAATTCCAAGCTACCAGGGGCAGCCATTTCTTTAGGGGATGTAGAGATGAAATTTGTGATATAAAATAGCTTGGTTCTTAACTTGTTTTTTACTGATGACTTGTAAAGTGTTTTGGAGTGTTCACAAAGTCTTGTCCATCTGCTTTCCAGCTTACCAAATTTTGTTGCTGGTTTTCTTTTGCTCTCAATACTTTTATTTTGCCTTTTAAAAAAATTCCCATTACTGGTATTTTTAGTAGTGTTTTGGAAGAGAACAAAATTAGATACATATATGTTTACTTCACCATCTTTTCTCAGAATAGACCTGATTTTTGTATTTTATGAAGTGTGTCATACACACTTTTAAATTTTTATTTATTGACTTCTGTGTCCTGCTTCCTCTGTCATTTGAAGGGCTCATCTGGTGTTTTGTTTTGGTTAGACGAAAGTGTAGGCTACTGAACTGTCCAGTACTTCAACGCTGAAGATAAAATGTATGAAAGAATAAGGAAATTTATGTTTATACTTCTATAAGTTCATCACAAATATTAGAAAGAGCTGTTTTTAGAAGGAGTGAGTTTTTGGCATGTGGATTTTGTTTTTAAAAGGAAATTAATTTTTTAAACAATCATCACAAGTTTTTAAAACTTGTTTAATAAGTTTCCAGGTATATGAAAGATTTGGACTACTGTGTTTACTTGGATATATTTGCTACTTCCTGTATTTTTTGGAGGAGAGAAAGAAAAGATATTCTTCCCTTGACAGCCTCTTCTATTCTCAGCATCAGTAGTCTTAAGACTTGACCGGGGAGCAGTTAGATGCAGAACTAACTCTTTTGCTGACAGTGAAAGAAAAGGTCTAAAAAATATTATGAGAGACCCTAGGTTGAATCTATTAGTATTAAAGTATTGAATACTCTGACAATTTATTGTCACTTTTTAAAATTGTTAATTCCTTTTCTTCTTCACTTAGGTACTAAATAGTCATTGTTTCCTGCTTTGTTCTGTAGTTTACCGGTTCTCACTTGGGGCTCTATAGTCCAGTAGTCCTTATACATTTTCCAAATATATGCCCAAGTCAGATTTCATTTTTTTATAAATCAGAATTTTTGTGGGTGGATCCTAGGGTATATGAATATTTAAAGGTTCTGTATTTTTTTTTTCTTCTGTGCATTCTTTTTTTGGGGGGTAGGGGGGGATACAGAGCCTCACTTTGTTACCTAGGCTGTAGTGCAGTGGCATGATCTTGGCTCACTGCAACCTCCACCACCCAGGCTGAAGCAATTCTTCTGCCTCAGCTTCCTGAGTAGCTGGGATTACAGGTGCCTTCCACCACGTCCAGCTAATTTTTGTATTTTTAGTAGAGACCTGATTTTACAATGTTGCCCAGGCTGGTCTCAAACCCCTGACCTCAGGTGATCCGCCTGCCTTGGCCTCCCAAAATACCGAGATTACAGGCTTGAGCCACCACGCCTGGCCTCTTCTGTGCATTTTTGGTTAAAAACTACCAAAAAAAAGGTCACAGAGATATAGCACAGTAATGAATTGCCCTGTTTGTTCCTTTTACTTACAGATGGTATAGCAGATAAACTATCTTATAGGTAGGAAAAGGACTATGGGAAGGTTAATTTGTGTGTGTGTGTGTGTGTGTGTGTGTGTGTGTGTGTGTGTGTGAGAGAGAGAGAGAGAGAGAGAGAGAGAGAGAGAGAGGGAGAGAGAGAGACTTGTTTTAGGTAAATACTGAAGAGTACAGCCAACAAAGGACAATGTAAAGAATTTACAAGTTCTGTGTTAGCAATTTGACAACACTTTTAAAAGTGAGTATTACAGAACACATTTTTGTCAGGTTGTTAATATTCTCCATACAGATTTTGGCGAAGTAAATCTTTTTTTAAAGTTTGAGCAAATGGTAGGTTATCAGGTTAAAGTGTCGCTATGGGATCATAAAAACACAATGTTTTGAGAACTGAAGGCTCTTTAGAAGATTTCACAGTCTGAAGCTGAAAATGGTTGTCGAAGATCATGGATATGTTCATGGAAAATAAAATTTGTAGGATTCCAGTTCTGCTGTTCACTTAATAACTAAGCCATTTTCTGCCAGCACATGAGCTTGCCTTTAAATTACTTATAGAGCCAGCTGAGTTGAGCTCTATTGTGTTTTTCCTGACAGATAAGTTATACCCTAGTCTGTAGGTTAGGTTCTCAAGGCTCAATATGAGCCACATTTTCATACCTGGTGTATATTCCTCTTAGAGTTCCTTATGTACAATCCTCAGCATGCTTCAAAAAGACAGAGTTTTGGCTGCCAGGTTCTTTTCTTTTTTTATGATAATAAAAGTCAGTAGAATCTTTCTTAGTGATGTTTTATTTTATCTAAATTAAAAGATTTCGTATTATTATGTGTCACTTTGATAATGTTAAACTCTCTTCACTGTATGCAAAGCCTGTAAATAATTTAAAGCTAATCTTAAAAATTTGAAAAAATTGACACATGCCTAATAATCGGTACAGTTATAGACTCAGTTTAATAAGGAATACTGTATCTCAATTATTACAACCTAATTATAAAAATGAGTGGCTGAGGAGCTATTTTGTTCATTTTTAATAAACTACACTTATTTGTTTTTGACTAAATAGAGCTAGATTTTGATTATTTGTTTATTTAGAGACACTGTCTCTCTCTGTCACCCAGGCTGGACTGTGGTGGTCTGATCATAGCTCGCTGTAACCCTGAACTCCTATGGTCAAGCAATTTTTCTTCTCAGTCTCTCAGTTAGCTGGAACTACAGGTGTGTGCTGTCATGCCTAGCTAAGTTTTAAATTTTTTGTGGAGACAGGGTCTCACTGTGTTGCCCAGGCTGGTATCAAACTGTGGGCCTCAAGCAATCCTCCTGCCTTGGCTCCCAGAGCACTGAGATTATAGGTGTGAGCCACCATGCCCACAGCATCAAGTTGTTGGTTTTTGTTTTTTTAAGTTAGTTTTTTAAAAAGTGTGCTCTTCTTGCCTGGCAGCTGTTTGGAAGTAGTAAGTTTATTTTGACTATGGTATACATCATTTGAATATACAGCTGATACTTGTTATTCAAAGTAGATGTGTCAAAAAATTCTTGAGATCATTGAATTAGTGAAAACTGAGCTATTTATTGCCTCTAGGGGAACTACGGTGTTAGGTTTCTGTGAGCCTCTGGTAACATTTTTGTTATCCCATCAATGATTACCCTTGTTTCATGTGTGTTTCTGTTTAAAGGCGCTGCATTTAGTGTATTATTTTAGTATATTCATTTATGAGGATTGAATTGAACTAACAGCCAATAGCACTAGAACACATGTCTGAACAAAGCGATCTGACTTGCTTTTTCTCTGAAGACACATCACAACCTCCTTGTGTTTATTAGCCAGCACTTCAGCAGTATGCTTGGGGGGCGTTTTAAATAGTGAAATCACTAATAACAAAAATATGGAAACTGTGGCACTAAATAGAACTGTGAAAAGGACACTGGTGAGAGCTGACACCAGAAGGCTATGTCATCCTGTTCAACCTCAACTGCGAAAGTACACACCAGTGGAGTCAAATTTTTTTGCTCTATGATCGTGCTTGTCCATGAATGACTATATGTTGATTTTGGGGTTATAAATATGTTTTAGTGAGTAGGTAGATTCACAGATATGGAATCATGAATAATGAGGTTTGACTACATTTATTTATTTCATTCTCTATTGATGGACTTATGGGATTTTCCTCTTATAAACAAGGCTACAGTAAATATGCATATGTGATAGCATACATGTTTAGGGAGTTTCTTCAGGGTTTGTTCTAAGAAGTGGAGTTACTAGCATGTGGATTTAAAATTTTACTAGCTATTTGTATTAGTCCATTTTCATGCTGTTGATAAAGACATACCTGAGACTTGGCAGTTTACAAAAGAAAGAGGTTTAATTGGACTTTACAGTTCCACATGGCTAGGAAGCCTCACAATCATGGTGGAAGGCAAGGAGGAAGTGTCCTGTCTTACATGATGGCAGCAGGCAAAGAGGGAATGAGGCAGATGCAAAAGCAGAAACCCCTATAAAAACTATCAGATCTTGTTCGACTTACTCACTACCATGAGAAAAGTATGGGGGAAACCACCCCATGGTTCAGTTATCTCTCATCAGATCCCTCCCACAACACATGGGGATTATGGCAGTGCAATTCAAGATGAGATTTGGGTGGGGACAAAGAGCCAGACTATGTCACTGTTTTATTATTGCCAAATTATTCTCCAGAGTGGTTATGTCAGTATATACTCCCACAAGCACCGTATGAAAGTTTCCATTTATCCAGACTTTTGCCAGCTCATAATACATGTATGATTTTACATGTTTGCTATTCTGATAGTTATAAAATTATCATAATTTTGAGTTTTCTCTGATTTCAGTTTCTTCAATTTGAATCTGTTACATGCTGCTATTAATAGTTTCTAAAAGACCTTTTGTTTTTGAGCTGAAAACTTTGTTTAACCTTTTATTGTGATATTTGTCAGTAGTGATATGGTCTCTATTATATATCCAATTTATTTTTCAGTTTGCTAATCCAGACTTTACACAACCTATCTCAGAAGTTGTAGATGAAGTAATTCAGAATTGTCCTATTGATGTCAGACGTCCTCTCTACAAGGTATTTATAACAAAATTGTTCTTCAGGGTCTTAACTTAAAAAAAACTTTTATATATTCTGTCTGTTTTTTGATTTTAAACACCTTTCATAAAAAGGATAGAGCATTTCAGTACTGTATCTTTAAACTTTTCTCTTTTTAAATATTTATTTTCTCTCCACTAATGTAGAATATTGTCCTCTCTGGAGGTTCAACCATGTTCAGGGACTTTGGACGTCGCTTGCAAAGAGATTTGAAAAGAACTGTAGATGCCCGGCTGAAATTAAGTGAGGAATTGAGTGGCGGTAGATTGAAGGTTGGTTTTTCTCAATTATTGGTGAGAAGGTTGAGGGTGCCTGGATTGGGATGACAAATATTTGCCAACATTCACTCTGATTTAGGAAAATAAGAGGAACCTGTCAGGTACTCTAAAGGAAATGGTTAATGTTATAGATTCATGTCCATGATATTCTGAATCATTTGATTCTTTTAGGATATTGTCTGCATTTTCTGGAAAATAATTTTTAGTAATTTCTGTGGAAAGACTTTTTTCCTACCTCTCCCTTAGATAATTCATAGAGTTCTTTGCATGCACCAACAATACAATTCACAAAATTTTGTATACCACTGTAGAAGGACAACACAGCTGAGTTGACATTGATGCTGATGTTGAGTAGTCAAGCCTGCTCTCAAAAGCAGACTTCAGGGCTGGGCTTGGCGGCTCATGCTTGTAATCCCAGCACTTTGGGAGGCTGAGATGGGTGCACCTGAGGTCAGGCGCTCGAGGCCAGCCTGACTAACAAGGTGAAACTCTGTCTCTACTAAAAACACAAAAATTAGCCGGGCGTGGTGGTGGGCACCTGTACTCTTAGCTACTCGGGAGGTTGAGGCAGAAGAATTGCTTGTTCCTGGGAGGTGGAGGTTATAGTGAGCCAAGATTGTGCCACTACACTCCAGCCTGAGCGACGGCTATGTCTCAAAACGAAAAATCAAAAAACAAACAAAAAAACCTGACTTTAGCTCCCACATAGCAACCTCAAACTGTGCAGCCAAATTGGTGGTTTAGCAAAGCAACCTTTGTATTGCATGTCCTGGACCTTTGGATTTGAGCTTAAAAAAATTAAAATTAAGGGCCAGGCGCAGTGGCTCACGCCTGTAATCCCAGCACTTTGGGAGGCCGAGGCGGGTGGATCACGAGGTCAAGAGATCGAGACCATCCTGGTCAACATGGTGAAACCCCGTCTCTACTAAAAATACAAAAAAAAAAATCAGCTGGGCATGGTGGCGCGTGCCTGTAATCCCAGCTACTCAGGAGGCTGAGGCAGGAGAATTGTCTGAACCCAGGAGGCGGAGGTTGCGGTGAGCCGAGATGGCGCCATTACACTCCAGCCTGGGTAACAAGAGCGAAACTCCGTCTCAAAAAAAAAAAAAAAATTAATTTAAAATTCTCAGATGTCTACTTTCTGTATTTAGAGATAGATTTTTCATTTTTTTAATCCTTGTTACATGTTGAAGCAGAACATTGATTCAGAGGATAAGTTGCTAAATAAAATACCTTCTTGGAAAGTTACCAAGAATAAGGACTTTATCTGATATTTCCACAATCATTCAGAATTACTTAAAGAACAGCACTCTAGGGTTTGCTGATTGATGAGAAATTGCATGACCGCTGACCGTATTCAGCATCTGTATTTTGATTGTTTCAAGTAAGCCTATCCCTAGGAGCACAGTAAAAAGGTATGTTTTGGGTGGAAGGCAAAATATTGAACTCTGTCCCTATAATGTCATGACTTCACATATCAGGAAGTCTACTCAATAGACTTTTAAAATGTTGCCTTTGCATTTGCATCCCCTTCCCAAGCAACCAAACCACCAGCCCACCCACCCATTCATCCATTCATCTGCCCATCCATCTACTCCCGTTACCCACATGCCTAGTATCCTACCTTCTACCTTAAAAAAGAAGTCACTGAGTTTTGCAAGTATGGTTTTAAATTCTCTGTGCTGGAAATCATACTAATTACTAATTATAGTAATTATAATTAGTATAATTGATTATGTGACTGAACATTGTGCATGTTGGGAGTTTTTCCGATTTTTTTGTTAGAATACTTAAAAGATTGAAGTTGATTATCTTAATGGTATGGTTATCTATATATTAAGTAACTGTTTAGCTCTTAATGATTCATTACAGATATATAAGTAAGAAATAACGCTGTACGTTTTTGGGTATAGTATTTTAATAAAGTAAGAATGTTTTAACATTTTTAAGCTCTTTGTACACTTGTAAATACGAAATGTAAATAAGAAATACATTTACCCAGTGATCAGTACTATATCAACATGTCTAAAGAAACAGGTTGGGTATCCCTTTTTTGAATTGTTTTGTACCAGAAGTGTTTC